TTGAGTTGCCTTTAGTTTCATTAATTCTATCTTCCACTGATTTGATTCTACTCCTTTGCCCATTCAATGTGTTATATATTTCTGAAACCTTAGTATTAATCTCCTGGATTTCTATTTGTTGTTTTTGTATTGTTTCAATTTTTCATTTATTTTGTCAGTTTGTTCTTGTATTCTTTCCCTAAATTTTTCTAGAGGTTTTTTTTTTCCCTATATTTTCCTTAATTTTATCAGTGTTTTCCTTGATCTGTCTCTCAATCAATTGAAGGCACCCAAATATAATTCTTTTGAATTCTTTTTCAGGGAGTTCTAAGGCTGTTATTTCCCTTAGATATTTCCTGTGTCTTCATCCTGGTCCATTGTTTGTACGACTTTATCTTGCTTCTTTCTGTGAACCTGGATGGTCAGTTGTCTCTAAAACAATGTGATGTCATTTTATTTATATTTAATTAGTATTTGTATGTTAGTGTAATTTGCTCAAGTTTTTTTTTTTTTCCTTCTGTTTTTTTTGTTTGTTTTAATGTATTTGTGTGAGCAGTGTTCTATCTTGCTTTATATGCTGGTTGGCAGCACTTAGGCTTTCACCACCTGTCTTCTAGTGGGTGTGATAAAGAATGAGAGTGTGTGTACACATCTCTGTTAGGTGTTCGTGAAGAGCAGTTGAGGGTGATTTGAACTGGTATTGGCTAGTATCTGTCATTGGTCAGTTGGTACAGAAGTAAAAGGTTATCCTCACACAGTGGGTGGGGTTGCAGGAGGTGTGGGCATGGTTGGGTTGTATGGGCACAGTTGCTGTCTCTCACTCAGACCAAAAAAAAAAAAAAAAAAAGAAAATCTTGGCAAATCACTACAGCATACAATCACCAATTAAATAAAAAAAAAAAAAAAAATCAAGGGCCACCAGAAATGTGAAAACAAGAACATTAGAAAACACTGCATATGTGAGTTAAACATTTACCTCAAGTAGATACACGCCCTGGAGAGAACAATCATGGGAGAAGGAAGGGTTGCTTATGCACAGGGAGA